GCCTCAGTGAAGGGAGGTCTGGGGAGGGTGAATACCCAGCAGGGCTTGGGGCTGGGGCTGAGTGTAGAGCTGGAGCTAGGAGCAGGGGTGGAGACTTCGTTGGGAGTGGGTGTGTGTACAGGAGCGGTCACGTGTGCGGAAATGGAAATAATGACTTGGTCAGTGACCATCATGTGGTTGGCGGCCCTCATAAGTTCAGTGATGATATTGAGAGATGCGAGTTAAGTATCCATGATCTCAATGAAGGATTCTCAAACAGGGATCTACAGGTTCTAAGCTTTAAGAATCAGGATCAGAATGCTGTTGCAAACTTTATCCAACCAGAAGATCCCAGAGTTCCTGAGGACCTGTAAATTACCAAGGCAACGTGACTGGTTACAAATGTACAGTTTACTAAATTGAGCACTTGTCCCAAAGCCTGCTCCACCATGCAGTAAGATCATGGCTCATCTGATCAAGGTTCACCCACACATGGCAGCCCTGATCTATGCAGTTTTAAGAAATATGTGTCATTAGGTTTCAGGAATCATCACTAACATACCCATTAGCTTTGGAGTGTGTACAGCTTACTTGTGTGTGACCTGTGCAGGGAATTTTGTTTGACAACACAATTTAGTGAGAATGTTGATCACCACCCAGCTTTCTACTATCCAGCCAATTAGTTCTACCATTAGGCCAGCCCCTTCAGCCTGGTTAGCTTAGATGGTATACCCTGGATAGTTGATCACAGGTTGGTGGATTTAATGCATCAGAAAACAGTCTTCTGGTTTATCACTATTACTCGGCGCAGCAAAGATACAGCCACAAAGGCATGTTACTACCCCACCCAGCTAAGCAAGCCCTTACATTCCCTCAAGGAAATGTGATGCTCTTGCCTGAAAATATTACTCGAAGACTATTTGCATAAGCAATTTAGTGGTTATTGATTCACTTTTCTCCTGGCTCAATGGGAACCAGCGTTGTGATACAACACTCGAAAGCACCAGTACTTTTCAATGTGCCAGTCCTGGAAAAAATGTGTCTTGGAATTTTGAAGCAAATTCTATTTGATCACAACTGCATAAATTGGGAGACCTGGGGAAAGTAAATGTAATTGTACAAACTATGAAGACGGCAACAGTATTTTTCAGAAAGGTCATATCACATGATTTGGTTTTTATTTTACCATAATCAACATCCCCCCACTTTATAAAAATATGGATTTTTATTATTCATCCATTGCCTCATTTTTTCCCCATAATCATCTATCCTCAAGGGTTTTTGATTTTCAGTTAACAATCTCATTATTATTCTTTAGTTAATGTTTACTCATTTGTAATTTTTGATTAATGATGTACCTGATTCTTAGTTAATTATTTCTTCATACATGGTTTCTGAACATAATTTTTTCCTTGGTTATTAATTTCCTTAGGTTTTTCCCATTTTTGAGATACCTACATGTAATTACAGAAGTATTGCTTAGTACCAGAAACAATTTTCACTTGAGTAAAAAATATTTATAATGAAATTTTTTTAGAGGAGATCCTTGTAACTTTTATAATGTAAAAGGCAGAAGCAAAAATGGAAACAAAAGCCTTGATCTGACTGAATGCTAGCATTAGTTCAAGGAACTGGATGTCCACTCCTCTTCCTATCAAGGTCAATAAATGCCATTGATAATGGATACATATTTAGTGAATTGGAGGCTAAAAACCAATTATGGACTGATTGTGCCAAAAGATCTGTTTCTGCATACTGCCCCTCCCTACTAAGTTGCACTAAACATAAATAAAGCAGCAGCAATAGAGGGAGTTCACTTGATACATCCAAGCATATCTGGAAAATGAATAACAGTTGCACCGAGTGAGTGGCTGGTACAGTGCCTGAGATCTTGTTGTACCTGCATGTGGTGGCTCTGCATCTCATATACCCTATGACAAAAGAATGGCATTGTTCAAAAGTTGGGTCTTAAGGGAATTAAACTGGGCCATATCAAGGAAACATGATGAGAATGAAATAAAGATTTTGCTGGGAATAGGATATCAAAGTGCATGTACGGCAATGGTTTAGCAATTTGATAAAACCCATCTGGTTCACTAATGTCGTTTAGGGAAGGAAAATGCCATCCTTACCTGGTCTGGCCTACAGGTGACTCCAGAACCACAGCAATATGGTTGACTCTGAACTGCCTCTGGGCAATTAGGGATGGGCAATAAAAGCTGCCGAGCCAGCAATGCCCTCATCCCATTAACGAACAAAAAAAAAAATCTGCATGAGTGGTGTTGGAAATGGCAGGCCAAAAATTACAGCATTTGGAATTTCATATTGCAATTACAAATGACTTAGAGGAAAATTTTAAACAAGGACAAGGGGGCTGGGGAAATGGAAGAAATTAGGAGGTAATAGGTTCTAATTAGTGAATGAAGAAGTAAGTCAAATATTTTTAAAGGAGCAAAAAACTGGTGAAAATAATTCAAACAGGTTCGTGAGTTTTGTTAGTTTCCAAATATCTTGCTGCACAAACCCGGATACCAAAACACTGAATGTGTTGATTTTCACAGGAAAAACTTAAAAATCTTAGAGATTTGGATTTTTGACTAGACAGTTCACAGTATACAACTTTTGTTATTTATTATAATTACTTATATGGATCCATGTTCATTCACTGCCTGTTAAATAGATTATGAAAATTACTTTTTAGTCAATGTAAACCATGCACTTTATTAAACAACTATGAACTTTTTCAATTGCTTGAAGTTAAAAATGGAGGACAACATATAAAATGCTATGTAGCAACTCAATCTAAGTGGATGAAAAACTTTGCAAACAAGATTAATTGCTTAATAAAATGTGATGCATTGAAATCCAAAATCTTCAGCAGTGTTCAAGAACACAACACAAAGAAACTGTTTTAGAATATCATTCCTATTGATCATTGTAAAAACAGGATCTTAGTCAGGAATATTACAAGGAAAAAGTGTTTTTTATATATAACATCAAGCTAACCCTTAGTACCAAGCTAATAATTTAAGGCCTGTGTTCAATATTTTCCCCACACGGTTGTGAACTCCTGGCACAACAATCAAGAATGCAGCAGTCTTCTCAAAAGCAGAGTTCCAAATGTGTTAGCAATTTGAGGGGTCCTAAATGCCTTAATCACATCTGCAGAATTTAAATGATTGTACACACAAGGACTTCTTATACAGTGAGGTAGTTGGAGCCAAATAACCAGTAAGATGCCCAAAGTTCTGCTTCAAGTGCTTGCAAGCTTGACAGATTGATTATTGCACCTAGGTATCACTATGAGCACAGATGAAAATGGCTACACCTCTTGTGGGCTGCCATTTACCACCATGATGACCAATGGCTGCAGTAGCTTGGCAACATTGATAACAGCGATACAATGATATTAGTTACCTTCATGTCCAACACTCGTAACAGAATCTGCCTGTCAACCAACAGCAAAGGAGTGCCAGATGAAGACTCCTCACCTGAAATAATTTTTTATTGCATATCTGTCACCTTTTGTAGATGGATGGGACAGTATCAAAATTAGGGAAATGAATATTTTAATTTGCAGGATTTCTTTAAATGTAGTTGGAAGTTCACCCTAACACAGGATGAATGGATTCCCTTACACTGGAGCAACCTACAGCAATCCAGGATTTGTTGGACTGTATCCACCCACCCATACCACACCATGCCCCTGTGCTTTCTAATATGCATGGTAGAATTGGGAAATGTGTTTTCAAATGCATTTATCCATTTCTTTCAGAAATACCCAACTGTAAATAAAAAGGAGCCTGCAAACTATTTGCAATTGGCTAGGAATGCAAGTATATAATAGTATGCAATGAGGTACACTTTTAAACAAAATAATTACATGTTCAAAGTTTTTGAGAAGATTTGTAACTCGGGTTGTGGACAAGGTTGTAGACTTGCTCACCGAGCCGGTGTGTTTGATTGCAAGTCTACAACCTCAATAATGACAAGTATTCAAAGTTAAAAGTTTACTAAAAATCCTTAACTGTGCAAAACCATTAAAAAAAAAATTGGTCACAAATGTAACTACTGGCCAGTTGATATTCTATGTCAGTACACAGTAATATTTCATTAGTGCGCCAGCATACTGCCAAGTTAATTTTGAAACATAACAGCCAAATTTTTAAACCTTAAACAGCTAAATTATACAAGAAAATTTCTTGCAGCTGAATGACTGCAGAGCAAGACAGATGATCAAACTGCATTCTATCAGAGATATCTATTGTGCTTCTACTTTGGCAATAGGGCTAGTTCAGGAAGACAGAAATCTGGCCGAGAGAAAAATATGAGACCACAATTATTTCCATTTTAGCAGTCACAAAAAATGCAATTGATTTAGTTCCACTCCAGAGAGCTGAATGATGACAAGAAACATTGCATACTTGCATATGTAGTGAATATGCATTACCTGATGCATATTGATATACACAACTGTAGGACTTGTAATACAACATTGTCTCCATTCATTTGACATTTGTACCAAATGCCTATCTGCTATTTTAATATTGCATTTGATGTCAGCACAAATGTAACCAATAGGTTGATTTTTAAAAATTACCTTTATAACCACCCTTTTATGACTGAAATCCACCTGTTAAAAACCACTACTAAAAGAACAGTGCTGAATTTATAACTGGCATGTTATTCAAAAGCAAAAGGCCTAGTTGTAACAGAAACAGTACAAATGTGACTATTGCTTTGGTTAGAAAGTTAAAATCTCAACAAACAAGATTTAAAATAAAACAAAGAACCACAGGTCTGCTCTCCAGCAATTTCTGTTTTTGTTTTAGATTAAGTTTTTTGTGGAAGCTGATAAGCACATGGAATTTGAATCCTATAGATCTGGAATTTCATTTAAATATATTTGGCTTAATGAGTAAATATTAAGACTTTATAATAGTAGGATTTCAATAACAATGGAAAGTGATAACAGGAATCTGAACAGTCCATAGGAGATGCCTTTATATGCCTGCGTGACAATCATGAAGCAGTATTGTTGGGAGAGAATTCAGTTTCTCAGTACCTCACATCCACCTAGTTGAGCCAGAAGAAAACAAAGTAGTGCCAGAAATGCATGGGATATATCTGAGAAGTTATCACCATAGAATGTGTGTTAAAGTAATAGACATAAATGTCAGAAGGCAGTTTGACAATAAAATGGAGGCTGATCCAAAGTCTGGATTCCATTCGGGGTATTCTATCAGAAAGCAAAGGAAAAACATGTAACTGATATGTAATAATATTGCTAATATTACAGAAATAGAATATTAGTATTAATATGAAAACATACGGGAAATTTCTTCACGATCTGGTTCACCTGATGAGAAAAAAGTATAAGTCAAAAATTAATTGAAAAATTGATAACAAAGGTTAAAATTATTTTTTATTAATTGACTTACTGCATAAATTGCTCCTACAAAAATCCGAACCACAAGCTGTACAAGGTGCTCCTTTACTGTATGGTGACTGTCCTTCACGATTTCCACTGCAAAAAAAAAACCTGTCTGTGGTCCTGAATTTTACTTCCAACAAATAATATTAACACACAAGACAGTATATTGGAAGTATCTTGCTTGACATTCCCAAAAGAAGTTAAAATGAACTTGAAACATCGTAGATGCTTAATACTTAAAAAGAGGCTAAATCTTGTTTTCCTGGTCATTGCATGGAGCATGAGAAAAATGTCTGTGATATACAAATATGAAAATTATGAACAGAAGGCTAGTAGCTCCAAGAAGCCTGCCTCAGATTCTACTGGAGTAATTTAGCTGCTTGAAGGAAGAGTTATGGGCATAGGGTGGAAAAGCACAGTTGAGAGAGATCAGCCGTAATCTTATTGAAATTTAGTAAGATCATGTGATTGTGACCTCCAGTTTCCTTTAATCACATTGTGCATATTGCTGCCTCTACCTCAACTAATTTGATTGGAGAAAATGAAAATTCTAGCTGTTTGAACCTACAGCAATCAATGGAATTTGGGGATAATTTTGGCTTTGAGTGGTAAAATGAAAAACAATACTGACAATGAAAATAGAGAACAGTGTTTAATGAGTAACCAAGTCATAAAAATATTACACTATCACTCAAAATCAATATTATCCATAAGGAGTTTATATTTACAGCAGATATTTATAGCTCATTTCCCTTGACAGGTGTAGGCCTGTAAAACTAAGTACAGAAAACTTCCACACTCAGTGATACATAAAATGACAGCAAACAAATACTAACAACAATAGCCAAACACACCATTAGAATATATACAGAAGACAGAAGGGCAGCTCTCTACCCCAACATTAGCTGGTAGTGTTGTTTCTGTAGCAGCTGAACAGTTAAGGTGGTATGTGGCTTGGAGGAGAACTTGCAGGTAATGGTGTTGCCATGCATCTGCTGCCCTTGTTCTTCGAGATGGTAGAAGTTGCAGGTTTGAAGAGTGTTAACAACCTCTACCATCTAGAAGGACAAACTTCAGGTCTCTTCTTTTTGTGCAAGGGCACATTCAATAAATAAATGAAAATTGCTTTAACTGGCAGGAGGATCGGTAACCAGAGGACTCAGACTTAGGGTATTTGGCAAAGAGAAAAGCTTCAGGGATGGAGCAAGGGCATGGGAATGATTGGATTGCTCTCTGAAGAATCAGTAACAGCTGAATAGCATCCTTCTATGTTGTAATGACTACTGAACAAAGTATGTATTTTTGGATGGAATACTGAGGGGTAGCATGTTGCTGAGAAATACAAAACAGCACAAGGATGGATCTTAAGGGGATTCCAGAGGAAAGCGTGTGGGCAACAGAAAGAGAAACAATTGTAAAATGATTCTTCAGGCATGTGTGTGAACAGAACCAAATGAGGACAGTTTCGTCCAGCTGGACAAAGGAGAAGAGAAATTAAAAGAGGGTGGCATAAACAAAGGCTACAGATAGACTGAGGAGGGATAGTGTAAAATCACATTCACAGATACAAAGCGTGTTCATCTGTCACTGTCACAAAGTCCATTTCGTTACTATTACCTGCCTGGAACCCTGAATAGAAGGGCACAGACATGGAATTGCAAAGATGGGCATGGATACGCACTGAAATTATTGCACATACTTGAATATAACTACTTAGGACATGGTTCACACCGGGCCTTACCAATAATGATTCTTGAGCTTGTTGTCTGATAATCTAAAACAATTTACTGTGATGCTTACGTAAGCAGTTCTCTAAAGACCATGTACAATCATAGTTTTGTATTTCTGGCATAGGTTTGAAATGACCTCTTTTCGGCAGTAGTAAAACTGGTGGAAAGAAGCTTGTCCAATTGATAACCTTCAGACTAGTCACAAAGAATAATGAGTGATCAATCTTTTTTTGCTGATGGACAATCAATGTCCACGGTGTCCCAAACAGTTAATGTGGAGGACTGCTCCCCCCAGGGAGAATCCACGATGACACATGATGTCTTTTTAAACTAAAAACCTTTGAACTCTATGTCAACTGTATCCTTCTATTCTGTGCCTATTGATATATCTGTCAAGGTGCCTCTTATACATTGCTACTGTATCTGCCTCCATCACTTTCTCTGGCAGCACATTCCAGACACTGACCACCTAGAGTAAAAAACTTGCCCCTCACATCTCCTTTCAACTTACCAGCTTTTACCTTAAACCCGTATTCCCTCGTAACTGACATTTCTATCTTAGAAAAAAAAGACTGACTATCCATTCTATCCATGCGTCTCAATTTTGTAAACCTTTTCAGGTTGCCCCTCAGCCTCCAATGTTCAACTGAAAACAAAGTTTGTCCAATCTCTCCTTGTAGCTATTACACTCTAAACCAGGCAACATCTTGGTAAACCGTTTATTTATCCTCTCCAAAGCTTCCAAATCCTTCTTGTAGTGTGGTGTCCAGAACTGTACAAAATATTCCAAACGTGGCCTAACTATACTCTATGCCCATACTGAAGAAAGCAAACATGTTATATGCCTTGAACAAAAACAAAGTTGCTGGAAAAGCCCAGCAGGTCTGGCAGCATCTGTAAAGGAAAAAAACAGAGTTAACGTTTCGGGTCCGGTGACCTTTCCTCAGTTCTGAGGAACTTGGTTCACACCGGGCCTTACCAATGATTCTTGAGCTTGTTGTCTTCTGAGGAAGGGTCCCTGAACCCGAAATGTTAACTGTTTTTTCCCTTCACAGATGCTGCCAGACCTGCTGGGCTTTTCTGGCAACTTTGTTTTTGTTCCTGATTTACAGTGTCTGCAGTTCTTTCGGTTTTTATTATGCTATATGCCTTCTTGACCATGTTATCTACTGGTGTTGCCACTTTCAGGGAACTGTAGACCTGTATGCCTAGATCCCTTTGTATGTTAGTGCTTAATAAGGGTTGTGCCATTTATTGTACACTTCCCTCCTGTATCAGATCTTCCAAAATGCATCATCTTGCATTCATCCAGATTAAACTCCACCTGCCATTTTTCTACGCAAGTTTCTTTGGCAGTCCATATCCTGCTATTTCCTCTGGCAATCCTCCTCACTATCTGCAGCTCCCCCAATCTTTGTATTATTCACAAATCTACTAATCAGACCACCTACATTCTCCTCCAAATCATTTATAAATTTTACAAACAACAGGATCCCAGCACTGATCCCTGTGGTCACAGATCTCCAACCTGAAAAATACCCTTGCACCGCTACTTTGTTTTCTATATCTAGGCCAGTACTGTATCTTAATTATGTTACTTATCTGCTCACCGTGGATCCCATGTGACTTCACATTTTGTATCAGCCTGCCAATGAGGGACCTTGTCAAAGGCCTTATCTATATGGACTTCAGTATCTACCACCCTGCCCTTATTAATCATCCTTGACACTTCCTCTAAAATCAATCACATTTGAGAGACATACCCCTTCCCTGCACAAAACCAATGCTGCCTATTACAGTCATACAGCACAGAACAGACCCTTTGGTCCAACCAGTCCATGCCGACTATAATCCCAAACTAAACCAGTCCCAACCTGCCTGTGCTTGGCCCATATCCCTCAAAATATTTCTTATTCATGTATTATCCAAATGTCTTTTAAAAGCTGTAATGTACCCACATCCACCACTTCCTCTGCAAGTTCATTTCACACACAATCCACTGTGTAAAAAAAGTTGCCCCTCTTGTCTTTTTTAAAATCTTTCTCCTCCCACCTTAGAAATATGCCTCTTGAAATTCCTCACCCTCTGAAAAAGATACCTGCCATTCACCTTTCTATACCCCTCAATTTTGTAAACCTCTGTAAGGTCGTCCCTTAACCTCCTACATTTCAGTGAAAAAAACGTGCAAACCTATCCAGCCTCTCCTTATAACTCAAACCCTCCATTCCTGACACATCCCGGTAAATCTCTTCTGAACCCTATCCAATTTGATCATATCTTTCCTACAATAGAGTGACCAGAACAGGACACAGTACTCCAGATGAAGCCTCACCAACGTCCTGTACAACCTTAACATGACGTCCCAACTCCTATTCTCAAAGGTCTGAGTAATGAAGGCAAGCATTCTAAACACCTTAACTACCTTGTCTACGTGTGATGCAAACTTCAAAGAAGTGTGTACCTGAACCCTCAGGTCTCTCTGTTCTACAACACTACCCAAGGCCCTACTTTTTAAATGCGTAAGTCCTGACCTTGTTTGTTTTACCAAAATGCAATACCTCACATTTATCCAATGTTACCTTAGAAATAAGTCCATGTTTTTTCCTAGTATCAGTAAATCCTATCCCTAAAGGATCTTTTCCAATAATTTCCCTACCACTGACATAAGGCTCACAAGTCTGTAATTTCTGGGATTATCTTTGGTGCCCTTCTTAAAGAAAAGGAACAACACTGGCTGTTCTCCAGTCCTCTGGAACCTCCTCTGTGCCTAAACTGGCTACAAAGATTTCATGCAAGGCCCCAGCAATTTCCTCACACGCCTCCCTCAGCATTCTGTGATAGAATCGCAGGTTCTGGGGACTTGACTACCCGAATGCTTTTCAAAACATTCAACATCTTTTTTTATATTGACAGTCCCAGAATTTCCTTCCTGAGACTCACCATCCATCATGTCGTTCTCCTTCAAGAATACCAAAGAGTCTGTCCAAAAGAGTCTGTTTTCATGCTGTATCATTCTGTGATTCTATAAGGACATAACTTGTCTGGTGAGAAGAGCCCTTCCCCTATCAGATCCTTCAGCCATTGCACACTGTCTTCAGAGCAGTTGCAGGTGTGAAATGACCATTGTGCCTGTTCATTTGGAGATTGCCTTTGCAAAGGTGGTCTGGAAAGAGATGTAGTGGTTTTTATTGAGGTTCATCTGGGTAGCATGGTAATTCAGGACTCTGTTCTACTGGCTGTTCACAAGGACTCACACTGAGACAAACTGCTGTTGAAGTCAATCAACTTGATGGAACACACTTGTCTTCTCTGCACAAAACCTGCGGCCTTCCACTGAAATGAGCTGTCTGAAATCAAGTGTTGCAAACTGGCACATTTCAAGGTCCTTGACTGCATACTGAGGACACATTAAAGTAACACAACTGGGAAAAGTTATAGTCTATGGACATCGCCGATAAGCATACCAAAGGTTTGGGACTTAAGCAAAATTTGAGGCTACAAGCACCAGAGAAGGTTTGATATGAAATGTAAATGCAAGTGTAATGAGAAACAATACTAAAAGAAATTAAACTACTATACTTTGTCAATGTTGAATTTAGATTGTAGTGTAATGCATTCTTATAAATGTTGTGAATAAAGTGCATTTTCAGGAAAAATGCATTCTAATTACTGAGCACCTTCTGTAAGTGAGAGAGTCATATCTCAGACATGACACTTTCTAGCCTGTTTTGGCAGAACTGCAATAACCAGAGTGCATTATGAATTCCTGCTCTCCCACTTCCCTACCCCTAAATTACCTGTCATCAGCAAGATATTGTTCTCAGACCTATAGGGTCTACTTTGTGCAAAGTAGACACATTCATAGTATCTAACTTTTTAATCTGTTTCCCAGGTCCACAGAATCCAGCACATCAGATGCTAAAATTTACAAGTATGAACTGAGCATACAGAACAAACATCCAAATCGTAAAGATTCTGCCTTTCACAGATTAATTTCATTTCCTAGCAAATGCAGAATTATCATCCTTTTTATGATCAATGCTCACGTACATTTTGGACATTTAATTGTTGGCAGCAGTGTAGCAGTTCCAACAAAATGCCTTAATATTGTTTGAGATTTTGAAACAACAGTTAATAATTCAGATTGTAACAAACCTAAAATGACTAAGGTATGTAATGCTATTGTGTGATATCTCGTCATAAATTCTGCAATTTTCTACTCTTACCATGTTCAATTGCTACCTGAGTTTTACGACTTTTCATCCCAAAGTTAATGATGTTTTCTAATAAAATCAATTGTTCTAATGGTGCATGAGATCAATTGTTAAAATTAATAGCAGTTTTCTGCCATTCATTTACAAACAAAAAGATTATTTAAGTTAATTAAATAAAGACTTACCTGGGTGAGTAGTTACACACAAACACTGATCCATCTTTTTCAATTTTAGAATCTTTAATCCCTTTGGGACAGTAATTAGCTGCACAGCCAAGTTTATAACTTTCTCCCCAAACAAGCTGGAAAAGATGTAAAAATTACTCAATATTCTTGTAGCAATAATTAAATCTATTATACATACAGCAAATCAATGTGACTGATTAAAAAGAATATTTTTCCTTTTCAGAAATTTTAATCTGGCCAATTTTAAAAATTTGTTTTTTTTTAAATATAAAAGGAACAATTTTGCAGTTGTCCCTATCTGTCTTCAGTCATTTTGATGAGGAAGTAAAGAAACATATTTTTCCTGTGGGCTAAGGACGTTAAAAAGGAACACTCATTGTCATACTTTAGAAAGACAGCATTTGTAACCACTTCCTTTAATCTATTAGCATGCAGCACAAACGAGGGTGCTATTGCTTGGTGTCATTACAGATTGAATACTAAAAATTGCACCGTGAACAGTTTGGAAAGCTTTTCAGTTTCAATTATTCTTTACCAATTTAAATTTTGAAGGAACACTTAAATGTATTTAAGTCGGCCTGATTTGTATGAGAATTAATGCATGAGTCTTTCAGTCTATGGCTTAGTGCGTAAAAGTCTTGGGTTGCCCATGGGTAACAGAGTAGACGTCATGAATTTTGAGCAAAAACAGTGGTCATTGAACATTCTGAACAAACAGTTGTTTCATTCACTTAATTATAGAAAATGTATTGGGTAGAATATCCTCCTCCTGAAAAGTAACAAGAAAGGTGGTGAGATGAAAAGATAATAATCAGTTAGACTGGCGTTGGGGAAATTTTTGCTGCCCTATTTTGACCACAGGAGTTAAGTTCTGGACAAGAAGGCTTTGCTTCCCAATGAGATGCTGAAGTGGTAAATTAATGACCATATAAGGCCTCTTCATTCCATTGCTACTATTAACTTAATTCATGGCAGGTGTGAACACCAGCAGCGTTCCTCACTAGTAATAGCGTGACATTTCTGTTGGGTTAGATCCTTGTTCTGCCCTGATCTGGGGATGACTGGAGACATGGATGGGTGGGCAGTTACTGAAAGCCACCCCTTCCCCTTGCTTCTAACATGCTCCCCTCCATGGGGAGGAAGCAGAAGGTTCAACCCATTATGTGAGATGACTAACTTACAGAGTGAAGATAATTTTCAGTTATGGTAACTATGCTTGCTCCCCCTTTGTAAAAGAGACAACTTTATAACTTTTGACAACGCATCCACCATAAACAAAAGACAAGGATGATCAAGGAAAATTCTTGAAAATGTGAAGGGCACACTAATTAAGATGAGAGAATTTGCTGTAAAAAGAGTGTAATTGGATATGGCATTTTCTTAAAAAGAATGTTGATTTAGTCAAACAAGTTGCCAGGAAAAGTTGCAAATGTATTTCTTAAAAGAAAAGGGATTGAAAAATGCAGGGAAAAGGAAGATGGGCAAGATTAATCTATTATAAGGCTATATTGGGAGAATGATAAAAACAGAATTTGGGAACAGTATGAACAAGGTGTTAAAATTGAATAGCTCCAGTTTCTGTCTTTTTCTGATCTTAACTAGAGATGAGAATGCCCACCATTTATATGGGAGCCTCACATATATAAAGACAAGACTTCAACTGGATTTAAACCCACTGAGCTGAAAGTTTTTGAGAAGATTTGTAGCTCGGGTTGTGGATGAGGTTGTAAACTTGTTCACCAAGCCAGTGTTTGGTTGCAGATGTTTGGTCACCCTGCTTGGTAACGCAGTCAGTGCGCCTCCAGTGAAGCATTGTTGTTCTGTCCCGCTTGTTATTTATACGCCTCAGTTTGCTGGGGTGGTTGGCATTACTTCCAGTTCTGCTTTTCAGTGGTTTGTATATCAGGTCCAGTTCAACGTGTTTGTTGATGGAGTTCCGGTTGGAATGCCAGGCCTCCAGGAATTCCCTGGCATGTCTCTGTTTGGCTTAAGCTATAAGGGATGTGTTGTCCCAGTCGAAATTGTGTCTTTCTTTGTCCATATGTATTGAAACCAGTGAGAATTGGTTGTGTCTCTTGGTGGCTAATGGGTGTTCGTGTATCCTTATTGTCAGTTTTCTTCCAGTTTGGTCTATGTAATGTTTCTCACAGTCCTTGCATGATATTTTGTATATTACATTAGTTTCATTGGTTGTGGATTTGGGGTCCTTTATGTTCATCAATAGCTGTTGCAGGGTGATGGTTTGTGGGCTACCTGATACCTAGGGTTAGGAGTAGTATTGTGGTCATCTCTGATACATCTCTGATGTACGGTAGGGTGAGGTAGGGTAGGGTACGGCAAGGACCATGAAAAAACATTACATAGGCCAAACTGAAAGAAAACTGACAATAAGGATACACGAACACCTATTAGCCACCAAGAGACACAACCAATTCTCACTGCTGTGAACACACACGGACAAAGAAGGACACGAATTTGACCGGGACAACACATCTATTATAGCATAAGCCAAACATTGACATGCCAGGGAATTCCTGGAGGCCTGGCATTCCAACCGGAACTCCATCAACAAACAAGTTTAACTGGACCCAATATACAAACCACTGAAAAACAGAACCGGAACCATCCCAGCAAACCAAAGCATATAAGTAACAAGCGGGACAGAACACCAACGCTTCACTGAAGGTGCACTGACGAGGTTACTTAGCAGGGTGACGAAACGTCTGCAACCAAACACACTGGCTCGGCGAACGAGTCTATAACCTCAACCTACTGAGCTCTCAGTACCAAATGAATGCAGCAGATACCGTTGACAGTAAGCACTTTCCTTAGCTAAACCAGGAAGCAGAATGGTCTTCCAAACCTCAAATGAAAAGTCTGGGGCTTTGCTGACCTGAGCTATGACTTTTTGTGACCTACAAGATCTATGTCAATCAACGACTCATCACACAGGTTACCTGTTCACAAACAGGTCTTCCCCTGCATCGGTGAGTAGCTTAAACATTCCCTTCCATTGGATCATCACTTGTCATTTTCCTCCCATATCATGTTGGAAGTTGATTGGTGGTGTGTAAGATGATGATATTGTTAAAGTACTCTGCATTTCTAGTCTGTGCCTGTTTCACACTCTGCTGCCCTGAACTGTGCACCAGGTTAAAATCAACTCGTTTCTAAATATATTTCTAAAAACAGTGTAAAGATCGTGTCTATTTATTTTTATATATTTCTAATTGTAGATTTAAATGAGAAAATAAGATTTTTGAATGCAAATAACCTGACAATCTTAAGTACTGTTTACATAGCCGCTGGTTCAAGCACTGCTAGAAGTTGTCAAAGAACTGGTGTCATGGGTGTGTTAAAATGGAGACTGAGTCAGCAACTACTAATTGATCTGTGGACTATTGAGTAGATATTCATGACAAAAAGCCTCTGCCTGCCAATACCATATGATAGGTTCTTAAGTAGTTTAACAACTGTGGCTGCGAACAAGAGGGAGAAGACATCACAACTCCACAAGCTGCCTCTGTTCTATGAAGCAAAATAAAACACTAAGCCTGGGAAAAATCAATCTATTTTATCTCAACAGTTGTTATAATCAGTCATTTTTAAAATAAGTCAGAAACCATTTATAAGTGTAAACCAGTCACCCTGTACCTCCTGCAAACAAGTGAAAGCATCCAGAGAAGGAAGACATAGAAGCAGCATTCTGATCAGCAAAATAAATTCTCAGCAACTTTGTAAACAGGAACCATTGAACTCCCATCCAATTTTTCTCTCCACCCATAACTTCCACATGTGTGTGTGTGAGAGAAAGAGAGGAGTTTGTAACAAGGCTACAGATTTAACTAGTAGTTATATGCTGATGGTTTCTAATCATTTACTAATAGCTAGAATCTATTCAGTAATAAATATTAACTCCTAATACAGTAACCTGGCTCACGCTGTCAACTTGTGTCTAAAAGACAGGTAAATTGGAGAATTCTGGGTACTTTTTAAAACCTTTAGCTTTTGTGACAAATGTGGGAATAACAGGATATTATTTCTAGTGTGCTATCCAAGTGAGGCATTATCAGCAATAATGACTCAATTTTGTGGAATGGAGATTATAGCTTCTCCAAAATTTCAAAATGGCAGTTGGATTCATTTCACATGCAGCAACAAGGCGCTTTTTCTTTCATCAGGTATCAATTAATTTAAAGTACTTCTGAATTAGGTGAAATTCAGACCTATCTATTCTGATCAGCATTGTGTTAAATGCCAATACCAATTATGTTGACAATCTGTATCGTGGATTTAAATGTTCCAAATACTGACAGTGTTATACAGATTAATTTCACAAACTAAATTTCAAATCAAATGCCTGTTCTTCAAGGGAATTATTAGTGTGTAAGTTCAGTGTGTGCTGGACACTATGCATTATGAAAAGGGATATTAAAAAGACCATAAATTAATACTTAATAGCCATTAATACCTTTGCTTAACAAAAATGTACTTATGTTAGACTTAAAATTAACAATTGATCTAGCAACAACTGCCATTTGGGGAAGAGAGTTCCAAACATCTACCACCCTTTCCGTGTACAAATGCTTCAGAATATCTCTCCTAAATGGTGTGGCCTGATTTTTAGGCTATGCACCCTAGTTCTAGAATCATCAACCAGTGGAAATAGTTTATCACTATTTTACTTTACTCTTCCTGTTATTTTCTTGAGGACTTCCATCACATCAACCCGTAACCTTTGAGAAAATAGACCTAATTTGTATAATGTCTCATCATAGCTTAACATTTGAAGTCCAGGTATCATTCTTCTAAAACTAAATTGGACTCCCTCCGAGGCTAATATATTCTTCCTAAAGTGTGGTGCCCAGATCTGCTCAGTACTCCAAGTAGGGTTTGAAGAAATTTTCTGAAGAAGGGTCTAGGCCCGAAACATCAGCTTTCCTGCTCCTCTGATGCTGCTTGGCCTGCTGTGTTCATCCAGCTCTACACCTTGTTATCTCAGGGTCTAATCAGGGCTTTGTATAACTTCTACATCCTTGTACTCTGATCCTCCACGTATGAAGGGCAACAATCTAGCTGCCGAAACAGAAACACGACAGGACAAGGACCAGCCCGAACTTTTGCAAGTATGTCAGCCCCACAGAACACATTTCCTGCGAACCCTTTTGGATTTTCCCGTTGTACCAACTTTAGCTCCAGGCCAACATTCTATCAGTCTGCTTGATTTTCTGCAGCTGTTTGTGGCATTTTAAAGATCTATGCACCTGAATTCCCAAGTCTCTTTGGACATCCACTGCATTTAACTTCATACCATCTAGATAATATCCTGATCTTTTCTTTCAGTCCAAAACGGATAACCTCACACTTGCTTACACTGCAATCTATCCATCACAGTTTTGCCCATTCACCTAGTCATTAATAAATGTGAATAATTGAGGCCCGTACACAAATCCTGTGGAACATCACTAGTCACATCTTGCCAATTTGAGTGCTACCTATTATTCCTAATTTGTCACCTGTCACTCAACCAATTTCCCAGCAATGTCAGTAATTTGCCCTCATTTCCATGGGCTTTCACCTCAGTTAACAGTTTCTTATGGATATATGAAGATAGATATGCATCCTTAGAAGGAAATTCTTATTGTCCTGTTCAATCACACCTCATCCAGGGAGCAGTATGTACTGATAGAAGGCTAGAGTTTAAAGTGCTTATTCTCTTGACTGCATAATAGAAAATATCTTGCACAAGGAGGATAGCAGAGACAAAGTAACATATACCTGGGTATAACGTTCGCACATGTTTTTCTTGTTGCATTTATTGTTATCAAAATCATAATATTTTTCTTCATCATACCATTCTTTGATAGCATTTTCAATAGTAAAGCGGCCTGATACAACATAGATATTTTCTCCTACAGTCTCAAAAATCGGATGGGCTTCTCCTTTTCTCTTCAGGTGTGGATTATGTTTAGAGCTGCAAGTCTTGCTCCATGCGCTTGCAGTTTTAGCCAGACCTGCATCCCAACTCTAGATTTGTGGGAAAAAAATTACAATGCCATAAAGCTAATTCATCTCATACATTAAATTTTACAATTAACTTTGTCAGTCCAGTGCATATGACCAATAATAATAAAACTCAGTGATAATTAAGCAATTGGGATTCACTTCCATTTTGTATTTTTTACTGTATGTTACATACATCATTTCAGCATTTTGGTAAACAGCTAGAGGCCTTAATGAAGAAGTTTAGTAATACAAAAAAAATGTTTAGCTATGTTTTTTAGTTTTCTGAATTAATCGTCTCAATCAATTGTAAATTAAAGTACGTGGGAAGAAATCTTTCAAGTAGTTACTTTTCATAATGTAAATAGGGGCCCTGAAATGTTTGGACTAGAGTCACAGTCTTTCACCATACATATCAGAGCATGACAGATACACTTTAAAGAAGCTTATTTAGCCCATTCTGCCTGTGCCAGCACTTTGAAAGAAATATCCAAACAGTCCCAGTTCCTGCTCTTTCCCACAGCTCTGCAAAACATTCCCCTTCAGATTATTAATCTATTTACTTTTTGATTGAAGGAAAAGTTTTGCTACTAAATTCAAAGGAATACTTTCTGTACATGGAAACAGGAAGTTAAAAAAGAAATAGGAGCAGGACAGACAGACTGGGTGCGTGAGCCAAACTATGGTAACAAAGTTAACGAGCGGATGTCAAGGTTAGCCATTTCCAATCTACAGCAAATTAGAACATTTTCTTAATGGTGAAAGATTAGGAGCTGTGAAGAAAAAGTAATTTTGTTATTTTTACAAAAAAGACAAAACAAGAATTGATTTATAATAGAGTATGCAGATATACAAAGTTAGTGTCAATTGGTCATGCTCACGGCCACAATTAGTGGTCTATTTCCAGTATCAACTGGTATTAGTTTATATTAAGGATCACATTTGCCAACATGAATGAATGAGGTATAAACAGATTAAAACATAAGGTTAAAGAGAAATGTTCATGTCTCAGGAGGGACTTTTTAAAATTATGCTTTATAAAAAGTATATTTTGTGAAGATCATAATGTAACAGCATAACAAACAGGAGTAAGCCAACCAACCTTCATGTCTGATTTATCATTTCGTTATCATGTCAGATTAATCTTAACTCTACTTTCCTGCACTACACCCATCGACAGTATCAAATATCTATCAATCAATCTCTGTCTTAAATTTACTCAATCATCCACAGCCCTCAGGAGGTGTAAAATGCCAAAAAGCATTGAATGAAAAAAAAAATCCAACATCCACGTCACATCCAGTTCATGAAATTGATCCAACATTTCCCGACTTTTGATCATTTGATACAGAATACAGTGCAGAATCCACCTCTCTAACTTTGCCACAAATTTGTTTACACTTGTCAAACTACTCAGACAAGAAACAAATTCTGCAGCAGATTTCTTCATGATCATCCACGGAATAAGAAAGATCAAACTTCACCCTAATCAAACCATCCCAGAAAGTTGTTGAAAGTACATTACAACCCGAGCTCAATGCCTCAGGTCTCTAAGATGATAGTCGACTGCTGTATATTCTGTGCATGAAATTCATTTTTAAAAATTTAAACAAAAAAATTATTAAATGAGTAATTAATAGGCATGCAAAATAAAAAAAAAAGAACAGTAGATGCTGGAAATCTGAAACAAAAACAGCTTTACTGGAGAAACTCAGCTGATCTGTCTGGCACCATCTGAGCAGTGAAAGCAGAGTTAACACTGCAAGTCCAGTGACCCATGTTAACTACGCTTTCTGTCCACTATGCCAAATCTGCTGAGTTCCTCCAACAATTTCTGTTTTTATTTGTAATTAACAGACGCATGATGCCTTATGTGCCACACCACTGACCTTTGCAGTATCTCACCACCCTTACATGCAAATCTGGGTTTGTTCAAACAGTTTTGGCTGATACTTGCCTGACATGGAGTGGTTAGCACTACTGCCTCACAGCACTAGGTTCCCAGGTTCGATTCCAGCAATGCGTGACTGTGTGGAGTTTGCACATTTTCTCTGTGTCTGCGTGGGTTTCCACCTGGTGCTCGTTCCACAGTTAAAGATGTGCGGGTTGAGTTGATCAGTCATGCTAAATTGCCCCGTAGTGTCTATGGATTTGCAGGCTAGGTGAATTAGCTGTGAAAAATGTGGGGATAGGGTAGGATGGCTGGATCTGGGTGGTTGCTCTTTGGACTGTTGGTACAGACTCAATGGGCCAAATGGCCTCTTTCCGCATCGTAGGGATTCTATAACACGACCAACCGTTATAGTAACAAGTAAAGTTGCCATAATCCCAGAGGACCGTTCTGACATCAGAAACAACTAGTGAGAGTTTAATCCAAGGGTCACTACAGACAGAGTCATAGAGTTATACGGCATGGAGGCAGACCCTTTGGTCCAACTTGTCCATGACGATCAAGTTGCCTAAACTAATCTAGTCCCACATCCCTCTAAACCTTTCCTATTCATGTACTTATCCAAATAACTGTACCTGCATCTATCACCTCCTCTGGTAGTTCATTCCACATGTGAACCACTGTGTGTGGGGAAAAAAGAATTGCCCCTCAGGTCCCTTTTAAATTTTTCTCCTCTCCATTAAAAATATGCCTCCTAGTTTTGAACTCAGCCACCCTACGGAAAAGACACCTGCTATTCACCTTTCTATACCCCTCAAGATCTTACAAACCTCTTTAAAGGTCACCCCTCAACCTTATATTCTCCAGTGAAAAGAGTCCTAGCCTATCTTATAACTCAAACCCTCCAGTCCTGGCAACATCCTGGTAAATCTTTTCTGAACCATCTCCAATTTAATACTATCCTTCCCATAAAAGGGTTACCAGAACTGTACATACTATTCCAAAAGTGGCTTCACCAATGTTCCGTACAACCTCAATGTGACATCCCAACTCCTATACTCAATGGTCTCAGCAGTGAAAGCAAGTGTGCTAATCGCCTTCTTAACCATCCCATGTATCCGCGATGTATCCTTCAAAGAACTATGTATCCGAACCCTTAGACCTCTGAATTCAACAACACTACCCAGGGCCCTAACATTAACTGTGTAAGTCTTTCCCTTTTTTTTTTAACCAAAATGCAATACTTCACATTTATTCAAATTAAACTCCATCTGCCACTCCTCAGTCCATTGGTCCAATTGATCACAATCCCTTTGTAATCTTAGACAACCTTCTTAACAGTCAACCATACCACCAATTTTGGTGTCATCTGCAAACTTACCAACCATGCCTCCTAACGTCATCCTCTGTCTCCTACCGTCAAGCCAACTTTGTAACCAATTGGCAAGCTCATCCTGAATCCCATGTGATCTAACTTTACTAACTAGTCTACCATGCGGAACCTTGCTAAAGGCTTTACTAAAGTCCACGTAGACAACACCTACCATTTTGCCCTCAATCTTTTTGGTTACATCCTGAAAATCTCAAGTTTGAGAGACATGACTTCCCATGCACAAAGCTATGCTGACTATCCCTAATCAGTCCTTGCCTCTCCAAAGGTATGTAAATCCTATCTCTCAGAATCCTCCCAACAACTTACCCACCACTGATGTCAAACTCACAGGTCTATAGTTTCCAGTTTTCTCCTTACAGCCTTTCTTAAATAAAGGCACAACATTAGCCACCC